AGTTGTTTTGGCTTGCGCGATTTGTTCTTTTAATTGACGATTTTCGTCTAGTATTCAATAGTAAGGCATCACGACCGTTTTTAGAGTTATTAGCTAAATGATAATAAAATCTTACCTTCCAGGTCGCATCTCTTGGAAAGAATAGACTGAAGTTTATCTACCATACTTCTCAGGCTGTTACGTTCTACATAAGTGGGTTGGTTCGTAAGCACAAACACAAGACATTTTCACTACAGCATAATTCCAGGACTTTTAAGTAAGCTTACTTTTTAAGCACAAAAATGCTATTTTCAAGGAGTATTTTTGAAGTTTTTTTATGTTAGCAGACGTTTCAAGTGGAGATTTTCAAAAATAGCCACATTTCAATCCAAAAGCTAACAAATGAAGCAACACGTCAATTTCATCAGATTATACAAGGAGTTTTCCAGGAGTTTCAGCGATGTTCCCCATTTTCAAGGGGTTTTCAAGCGCCCTTGAAAACGAGTTTTCAATTACAGGACTTTTCAAGGACTTTAAGGAGTARCACGAACCCTGCTGATGAAATCCCCTTAACCGGATTATTTTTTCACCAGCGTTAAGCGACAAGCTCGACAAAAAATGTTAGCACAARCAGAATCGTTGCTCTTTTGCTAGTTTGAGTCGAATAGTTTTCATGAAGTAACGCTTTAGGAAATGGAAAAAATTACCTTCCACAGCGCATTTTTCAGCCTCTTGGCTTATCTGTACGTGTTTGGTTAAAGTACGTATTTGTGAATTCAATGAAGTGTTTTCTTTGGAAAGTTCTTTGGTAGCCTGTAGGACATAAGCTCAGATTTGTCAAGAAACAAAGCACGGAATCAGCTATAGACCGTAGAAAGAAAAGACCGTAGAAAAACTGATTAATAAGCTTAACTTACATTTTCCCACTTTGTAAAATCCTCAATAAGCTGGTCGAGGTGYGAATGTTTTGTTTTTGCAGAGAACATGGCTATCTATTAAGCCTCGCTTCTTTTCAACTGTGTTTAGCAAACTGTACTTTTGGATGGAATACAACAGYGCGCGCGCGTCTCTTTTTTCGCGCCAAAACCACAGGAAGTCCATACAAATGCGATGAAAATTAGTAATACTCGTAATACTCTAAACTTCACCAATTTAATGGTAAGAGAAACAAATTGTTGGGAAATATTGCTTAGAGCTATAAGTTCTAGCTCTAGACAACTCCCAGTCATCTTCTTTTTAAAGTTCGTTTAATTGGCTGCTTTCTGAGTAAAATATGGGTGGAGTCGCAACTCACCTCAAAAGTTACACAAAAGATTATAAAACTTTAAAGTGYACCAATAAGTTACTAAATCATTTTTTTATTCCAATTGTTAATTCAAATCCATAAAATTATGTAAACTATGTTCCTCACATGATATCTGAATGATCAGTATTAGGATGATTTGTTCCATTTTCTGTGAAAGAATGGCCTGCAAAGATATGTTGAGTAAATTTCTAGCTCATTGGTTTCATTCTTTTCTTTTGTCATCCATTAACTAGATTGTAAATACTAAAAGCGTGATAATCAAATAATACTAAAGTAGAAAACAAAGGAATGTAGTTTTTTTCTTTGGTATCATTTCCATGCTTTTACCATTTTTTATACACCCCTAGAGCTTCTTTCACAGACAATTGACAATCACTCTAGCATATACCTATTGTCCATACTCCTTACACAGGTTTCATGACCACAAATAAGGCATTGGAGCATTGAACCAAGGTGCAAAGGTAAATACAGATCTTTTCATTTATTTTGCAGTACATTGACACCTTCATAGTTTCAAAGTTTTGTTACAAAATCAGACCTTGATCAGACAGTGGAGATTTTTGGTATAATAAATTATTATTACATAGCTATTTATATCCCAATAAGTTGTACTTATTCAACCAACATTTCAAAACGTATAATAAAACACTGTTTAGCTTTTTAAGCCCTTGGACAAACATGTATTTACAACAATCGCTGAAACCCACCCCTGCYCYCAACAGCAGTTTTCCTYCATCAAAATTAAMATTYACCRARATTGCACAAAGACAACCTCYTCAGCAAGCCAAAGCTATGATYAGATTCGAACACATYTCCAGAAAGTCCAGAGTATGATGACCCACTGWASAYGAAAAAACCTGTTCATTTGAATGRCCTGCATAGTCTTTCAAACTGCTACAAGAGGAATTAGCTGAAGACCGRCGTGATGATTCACCAGTAATAGACAGTTCCTGAGCAGTAGAYGGCGATGCAAGGCTTTTGAAATCCAACAAGTAACTTTTATGATCAACCTGATAAAGCTGCAARCTTATTTTTGTCTGAAASAAAAGATGAATTCAAAGTGAGCTAAAAAAATGTTTACTTGACAACATATGAACTACCTCCACTCAAAATCACTGTGTTGYTAAGGGTGGAAAAGATCTAGCAAWATCGTAGCTAACTCACAGCAATATAACACAGCTAAATCCCTGCACATGAATGTTGAMAGAATACAAACTTACAATTTTACCAGAGACTTTATTTTTGCCCAAAACTCGAAGGTGAAAAGGATTGATTAACTTCCATTCCTGGTAATAGAAAATGAAAAAGTATTCATCATTCTGATACTGAACYAACAAGCCACTAGTAAAACTAATCAATATACTTACATAGCCAAGCATAACCATGGCACGATAAACTTCAGACATGATATCATTGGGTTTACTCTGTGATCGAATCCCTGATAGTGAACAATAATAAAGT